TCGTTTTTCGATCCGGAGACAGCCAGGTAGCTTGATGGATCTTTTTATGCTTGAACCTAGTACTGCATACTACCATGTTTCGGGCCCCGGCGAAGTCGATCAGCCTCAATCCGTTGTCGGACGTTTCGTCGTGGAGGCTGAATTTTCCGACGGTGGTTCCAAAGATCCCTTCTTTGCCCACCCTGGCATTGAAGTCGCCAAGCACGATTTTGATATCATGACGGGGGCAGCGCTCGTACGTGCGCTCCAAGCGCTCATAGAAGAGATCCTTGGATGCCTCATCCTTCTCTTCCGTCGGGGCATGGGCGCAGATGAGCGAGATGTTGAAGAATCTCGCTTTGATGCGGATTGTGGCTAGACGCTCGTCCACCGGGGTGAACGACAGTACTCGGCGACGGAGTCTCTCTCCCACCACAAATCCAACTCCGAATTTGCGCTCCTTTACATGGCAGCTGTAGTAGACGTCGCAAGGCCCCAGACATTGTTTGCCTTGCCCCGTCCAACGCATTTCTTGGATGGCGGTGATGTCAGCTTTTGTCCTTACGAGGACATCAACCAGCCGGGCAGAGGCACCTTCCCCATTAAGGGTCCGGACATTCCAGGTGCATGCCCTCAAATCGTAGTCCTTTAAACATTTGCCGTGGTCGTCATCATAAGGGGGGGTCTCATCCGAGGCTTTGCCTTGCTTCTTCACTGGAAGTGGTTTTTACGTGGCGGGTCCCAAGCCCAGCGCACAACCCATTGCTGGGACGGGGGTGGTTTCGCAACCAAATACACGTTTATATAGCGAGCCGCTTGCTCCAAGCAGACACCCGCTTGCAGCCGCACCTACTGGTGAACAGACGCTGCAGATTTCAGTGAGCCCTTAAACCGAATAAGTCGGAGTGGCCCCACCGAAGCTCCCTCTCTTTCTGCCGTGACCCAAGGCTCCACTCGGATTGGCTACCGCATCTCGCACATGGGTTGCTCACGTAGCCCAGAGTGCGCGAACGAGGACGCAAGAGTCGGGATTAAGTATAGCCATGCAACTGTAACCGCTGTAACTGTCGGCCGCTGTGGTGTGCGCTTCCACTCCACAATGCCTGGGTTCAAACCCTGGTCAAAGCAACATCGCAAAAAAATAGAAAAAAAGGTTTTTTCTTAACAGCGGTCGTCCCTCGGCAGGCAATGGCAAACCTCCGAGTGTATTTCTGCCATGAAAAACAGCTTCTCATAAAAATACAATCGCCGTTCGGAGTCGGCGTAAAACTGTAGGTCCCTCCGCTTTGTGTGACAACATCAAGGCGCATGCCACAAATCGGAGGAGAAGCTTGGCCAAACACTAACATATGTGTAAGCGCCAATCTATTATTATTATTATGCAACTGTAACTACATACCCAGCGCAACGACTATACCCCATTGCATTGTGCTTGCCACATACAAATCGGACTAAAATTACGCCCACTTTGCATATACAGTGGCTCAATAAAGAACTCGGCCATACATAACATGCAACTTCAAGTCAAAATATTCATAAGCAATGCATGTAAAATATTTTTATTTCTTATTTTTCTATTGGGTATTCAAATATGATATTGAAAGTAACAATGATAATTTACAAATCCATTATATATTCATATAAAAAAATTAGCACGCAGCATGCACAATATTGGTGTCAAAAAAGAAGTCGGACATCTGGCAATATTGCAGTTGTTTGGTATTTTAAAAACGGGAATCCCACAATTCATTTGCTCTTGGTAAAAAAGTGCAAATAAAGTACCAAACGTTATAGCTTAAAATAATATTTCATGCGTATTTTATTGAATAAAAGTCCAAAATATAAACATGGGTAGACAGTGTGGACAAAGCTCAATTGAAGTAAGACAACTAATTATTAGCCATCATGAAAAGGGTAAAACCGTTCCGGAAATCGCAGAAATAGTGGATAAACCCCGTTCGACTGTACACCACGTGATAAAACGTTTTAAAGAAACAAAATCCGTGGAAAATAAGAAGAAATCGGGACGACCAAAACTGTTTTCGGATGCAGATGAACGGTGGATAGAGCAACAAATTAAGAAAAATTCAAATTTGAGAGCTCCTAAGCTCTCAACAGAAGTCGCCTAACACCTTAATATCAACTGCAACCCCGAAAGTATACGAATAGTGTTTGCGAAAGTATAATGGAAGAGTTGCACGGAAGAAACCTTTCATCAACGAGGTTAACCGACACAAGAGAATAAAATTTGCAAATCGTCGTGGGGATAAGGATTTCGAGTTCTGGAAGACCGTTTTATTTTCAGATGAAAGCAAGTTCAACATATTTACGTCCGATGGACAATCATATGTGTACAGAAGACCTAATGAAGAGTTGCTGGAAAAAAACTTGCGTCCGACAGTTAAGCGCGAGGGCGGCTCGGTAATGGTATGGGGTTGTATGTCCGCTGTTGTTACTGGAAATTTGTGCTTCATTAACGGCAATATGGACCACAAACAATACCTAACGATTATGAAAGAAAATTTGGTTCAAAGCGCTGAAAAGTTGGGAATTAAAGACAACTTCCAGTACTATCAAGACAACGATCCCAAGAATAAGGCACTTGATGTCCGTCTATGGCTTATGTACAACTGTCCTAAAGTGCTTGAAACACCTCCACAATCTCCAGACATCAATGTAATTGAACAACTGCGGGCTAATTTGGAAAACCAACTGAAAAAGCATGTTATTAGAAACAAAAATTTAGGTCTTTTTTGATGAGATGCTATTAAGGAAGAGTGGTGGAAAATAGACCCTTTAACATGCAAGAAGCTGGTCGAATCTATGCCAAGAAGACTGAATGCTGTCAGAAGAAATAAATGCTTGCCGACTAAATATTAATTTATTTTTTCATTCTGAAATAATATTTGCCAAACTCTAGATAATATAAATGTCCGAGTTTATGTTTGTATTTTCTTTATACGAATGAGTTGCAGCTTTTTTATGTTTCTTGTAGTTTTGAAAAATACGCTTGAAGAATGAAAAAAAAAAAATGAAACAGAAATGTAATACATTTGCATTTTAATATATATGTTTTGATTTGAAATCATATCACTTGGGTGTCCGAGTTCTTTATTGAGCCACTGTAACGGTAAATTTCAGAAATGCTTAAAACTAAAGTCCCACCGATTCCCAATTTGTGGCCGATGCCGATTCCATAAAAAAAACTACCTGAATATAAATTCGTTCAAGAACAAATGTTTTTGACAAACTTTTATAATAACAAAAGATAAAAATAAAAAAATAACATTACGAAACAAATTATCTTTCAAGAATCTATTCACTCATTTATGTATGTAAGTATTAAAAGTAGTACATCGCTATGCGTACATATCATTGCAATACTTTGTTCCATAGCCTTTTTCTTATTCAATGTTAAAAAAATAGTTCATTCGAAATCATATTTCTTAATTGTGCTCATATTAGTAAAAATATGCAATCCATTGAAAAGAACCCGATTGATTTAGGAATTTAGCGATTAATTCAAGTATAACAATACTTTCAGTAATGACACTTTAGCATTCTTTGGCTATCTCCTTTTCGTTTATTTAATCTTTATTATTTTTTTAGGAAGTGTAGCTCGTTATCTAACAAAAACCATGTTAGTAAAAATTTCAAACTTTTTCTTTAAACATTCTGAGTATGCAGTTTTGTGGCCCATTCAATTCTATTCTATTTTATTTTTTATGGAAGGTGTTGCGGATTTTCTCCATACAAAAAAATTTTCGAACGTACTTTGTTTGGAAGAAAATGCGTGAACAAAAATTGTCAAAAATCAGCACTTACCTCTTTAGCTGCTTCAAACTGGCATTTTATTATACTAAAATTTAAAAAACTGCGTACTCAAAAAAATTCTAAGAAATCTGATTAAACAGTTTCAAATTTTGATGAACATTTGTTAAAATTGCGGAAAATGTAAAAAGAATCGGCCAAAACGATGCCGATGCCGATTAATCGGTCGGACTCTACTTAAAAAAAATATTTAGAAGTTTGAGGACGCTAATTTATTCAAAATTGATAATACCAACAATTCTTCGAAAAGAAGTAACATTATTATAGAATTTTGGAAAATGGGCGTAATACCGCCCACATATAACTATATAAGTTTATCTCAATATGTCTAACTGAACGTTCTATTGAAGATGTTTGAAATAGGTGTAAAACCACCCTTCTACCATGTAGCGGTGTAGTTTTCGGAAAGGTGAAAAAACTGTACTTAATACTTGCGCCGGGTATTTAATGTCTGACTCCGTCCGAACTTAGACTTTTTAACTTGTTTTACTATAGTATTTACCAACTCCCAAATACCTAAGTCATTAGCGCACACATGGGGTGGGTTTTGGGGTTAAGTTGATTAGGAAGGCGCTAAAAGTCACTTATTATCTGTATATTTTCTTTGACGAAGGCTGACTATATTTCCATGGCGATGGCCGCGAAATAGTCGAGGGTGGTTTACCTCTGCATTAGATGTAACTAACTTGTAACTAACTACTTTTGGACATAAAATATCAATAGGAAAAACAAAATATTTTTTTTAATTTTATTTTTTTTTTTAACTTTTATTTACTTTATTACATTTCATATTTCTTTTCATATTCTGCTAGGTGGTCCCATATTCGAACTCCGTCAGATATAACTTCAAAATGATAATATGAAATTTCGATCTTCCTTTTACTTGTCCTCATTTCAATTTAAAGAAATACAAAATTTTAAAAGTTAAGTTATTGGGATAATTTATGTCGCTATCAATAAATTTTTGCAATAGTCTTATCAACCGTTATGTTAAATTACGGATTTCTTACGATTTTTTGCGGATTACATATTGAAAACAAGGTTGGTCTACTTTTTTCCAAAAGTTTAACCCCTCAACTCGAACCAGAACCGGTCTTTTTGACCAACTGTTAAAAAAAAATGGCTTATAGATGGTTAAAATGTCCACTAAAATATTAAGCGCCAAATTTTTCTAAGGAGAACCGAATGTTATGAAAAATAATACTAATTTTTACCAAAAAGGGGGAACTTTAACCCTTTGTAGAAAACGTTGCGATGCGAGGGAGCAAAACCTTCTTGGGGTTTGACCACCATTAAGGAATGCTAACGGAATTTTCACACAGCCACCTAGTACTTGTATACGTATGTGGGACCCCAGAATAAAATAACTTACGAATGTAAAAATTAGCAAAAAAGTGTTTGCTCTTCATTTAGTCTGTTTAAAATATAAAAAAAAATACTCAGGAAAATCAACTTGTCTTTGTTTTATCTCTAATAGTTGAGGAGTTAGATGGAATGAGTTAGATGGACAGAAGCTGCTTCGGTTAAAACTGCTTTCTGAGATATCGGCGTTAAAGTTTTTGATGTGTTATAACCTTATTGTTGCTGTAGTATTCACGATCTAATTGTCCCAAAATACACCTATCTTAGCTCGTCGAGATTGTTTTTCATCAACGCTGTGAGACTTTGGAATAATATACCAGAATCTGTCAAGTCTGTGTTAAATAGAGGTAACTACAAATTGCTAATATACAACTATTTTGGGTCACTGCGATGAGTGTGATCGCAATAATATTCTTTCTTTCCTTTCATCTGTCTCTCTGAACTCATTTTCTTCTACCTATGTATATGTTTAATTGTGCTTATGATTAGTTAAGGATTTACTTATGTTTTGTGTTAGTGCTAAGTTTATTTTAATTTAATTTAATTTAATATGTTACTCTGTAATAAAATACCAAATGAAGTTGATGTACTTTAAAAAGATTCTTATCTTATTTGTACCACCACTTTTGTTCAAATAAATACTTTAAAAAAATACTTTATTGTAAAGAGTTGTCTACTCCGGAAAAAATCGTTAGATTACGAGTATTCGACCCTAATTTAACTGTGATAAACGCTTTCGATCGAAAAATATGTTACCTATGTTTTTTCTGAGTTACGCTCTTTTTGGAAAAATAAAGGAGATCATATTCTTTTCCAGTGGCCCAAATTATGCAAAAAAAAACTCCTTTAAAAAAGTAATTTTCATTTCGTAAAATTGTGTTTTTAAACGAGTAGTATTTAGTTCCTTGAAACGATGTATTTCAATGTACATACATCATGAAAATTTTGTACAAAATCCCTTAGGCGCCGAACGCGANATTTTCATTTCGTAAAATTGTGTTTTTAAACGAGTAGTATTTAGTTCCTTGAAACGATGTATTTCAATGTACATACATCATGAAAATTTTGTACAAAATCCCTTAGGCGCCGAACGCGACGGCGCGTGAGGAATGACAAAAATCGGCGGCGGCGGCGGCGTGGCTCGGCGGCGCAGTACCTCTAATAGGTACTGATAGCGTAGTGTTTGAAAATAACATAGGCAGACAAGAGCGCAAATCAAGAAAAAAGTTTTACGATTTTGGATGATGACGCTTTTTCGACAACCAAAAAAACCAGGATTCACCCACCTTTTGTTAAATTTTTTTTTGTACGTCCGTTCTTATACATAAATTTATGTAACTTAACTTATATCATAAGTCATGTTTTGAATTATATGATTAAATCTTCATTGAAGAAATATTCTGTGAAAATGCGGGATCCAATGTGCGCGATAAAAAATAAGGTTCCGTGATCGTACATGAACGTGACTGAAAAAAATTTAGAAAGCGTGAGTGTGTGATTTACAAAATCGTCGCCGTGAGCATGCATAATCGTGAGTCAAAATCAGGCACGCGCAATCTATACAGGACGAAATTTCGCGAAATGCCTCTTGCAAGTACAAAGGGCTTTCACACTTGAAGGGTGGGCACTTACTAACTTTTTCGCGACTTGGTCTAATGTACAAAATCTAAAAGCCGATAAGTTTAGGTTGGTTATTGTGTTAGAGATTGGAGAGTATATTTTAAGCATGTCAACATAAGTATACTACATACATACATATATCGTCGTTTAAAGTACAAAACCGCGTATCGTCATTCTGCAAAACCGCGTAACTGACATTGGCTGCCAAAAATTGGATTTGCTCACACAAGCTCTTGGCTCAATCCTTATCCATTCGTCCTGAAATATCCTAGCCAGAAATGCGATTGCTTTATAAAAAAGAGAACCATATTGAAATATGAGTGTTTTTACGCTTTAGAAAATAATTTATGCAACCTCACATATGCGGTTTTGCATTTTGCTGATACGCGGTTTTGCATTTTGTTGATACGCGGTTTTGCACTTTAAACGACGATATGTATTTATGTATGTAGTACGTAGGTATGTATTTATTTATTTTAATACTTCGTATGCAATAAATAAAAATTTATTACTGTATGCAGTAAAATTCTACTCTTTACATATATCGTCGTTTAAAGTACAAAACCGCGTATCGTCATTCTGCAAAACCGCGTAACTGACATTGGCTGCCAAAAATTGGATTTGCTCACACAAGCTCTTGGCTCAATCCTTATCCATTCTTCCTGAAATATTGTAAATAGCCAGAAATGCGATTGCTTTATAAAAAAGAGAACCATATTGATATATGAGTGTTTTTACGCTTTAGAAAATAAGTTTTACAAGTTCACATATGCGGTTTTGCATTTTGCTGATACGCGGTTTTGCATTTTGTTGATACGCGGTTTTGCACTTTAAACGACGATATGTATTTATGTATGTAGTACGTAAGTATGTATTTATTTATTTTAATACTTCGTATTCAATAAATAAAAATTTATTACTGTATGCAGTAAAATTCTACTCTTTAGCATAGCTAAAATTCACTTAGCATTTCCTTTTTTTCCACCAACGTCACAATCACCCGACTAAATGGTAAATCAAACGATTAGGGAACCATAAATATGAAAACTGTCAAGTGATTTAAAACACTAAATGAATGAAGAATTTATGATCCCTTCGTGAAGAAATATCAATAATCAACAACAATCACTTGAGTTATACAAACAAACTATAACAATAGGGGTATACGTCTAAACATTTCAACTTATAAAAAAGGTAAATTTAAGAGTCTGCATATAGTGTTACATGAACGCAACACATAAAACTAAAAGCCTGGTTATGCCAACTTAGCTTAACGTAACTCAGAAAATCAAAATGAAACAGATTCGGCGTGGCATTAAGTTACGTTAAGTTTCGGCCGTTTAATTATAAGCAACATCCATTTAAGAGAATTTTTAAGTGAGAGCCTGCAAGTTACATTAAGTTACCATAATCAGACCATAATTGTCGAGATCAAGTAGAAATCAAATATTTTTTAAAAATTTTGATAAATTAAATTCTCGAATCTTATTTACAATCAGCCTCATTGCGAGAGTCGGGTCGAATGCAAGTCGTTTTTTCGAGGGTCGAACCGTATCGAAAATTTCGCTTCATTGCCTATAATTTCCACTCGACTAGGGTATTAAAAAGGAATAACTTGGCAGCAATGTAAATTTTTCGACGGTTTTAGACGTTTAGATGAAAACCCTGAATATCTAAATATATATGCATACGTACAAACGTATGTATGTATACAAACTAATGTAGTAAACATACATTCTGGACACCGATATCTGCATACAGTAGCTGTTATTAATATTGTGACAACATGACGGCGGTGAGAGCTGGGAAAAGTTGTAAATACCGATGCATTAGGCTAGATTGCACTTCTAGCAAATCCAAAAAGCACCAGAGCACCGTAGTGACTGCATCTATTTGTTTATATGTATGGAAGTAGTGCCATGGAAGCCTCAACCCATTACATCGACGTTTGCTCAGGTACTTCCCAAATGGAAGCCGTTGAGCGGCTTACTAATCTGTTTGCGCTTCCAGTTGTAGTTAGCTGGCTGACACCGACTACATCGTCCGCCTTGCAGTTATCAGCTGCGTGGCACAATGACACAACTACTCACATACCCGCAATCGCTTCTTGTCAAAACCGACGCGGCCTGTTGGCGGCACTGGAGTTGGCGTCAGGCGCCATCAATATATACGGCGTATGTGCATGCACTGTTTACCCGAGTTTATAGAGAATTATCAGGGATCGCTTCCACTTCAACGGAGCCACAGACAAACTGACAGCAGTACGGTGCATTGCCGAAAGGTGCGGTAAAGAAAGGCAGTTAACAGTGGTTCGGACAAGTATAAAAGCATACATACATATGTATGCTACAATCAAATGCCTTTCCCGACAAACGTATGGCAATGCTACTGCCACCGTCCCGACTGGCTTATGAATTGGGTGGGAGTGGTGTGAAAAACAACGAGAGAAGTGACATTTAAGCGCCATGGCACCATAAAAACTGACAGTGACAGTCGGAAAGTAAATATTGATTACAAGCTGAAAAATTCGTACCCGCCCACTTCAGTTCCCGAGTTCGTTTGTTGTAACCTGATAATATCGGAACTCTTGTTAATTACTGTTACAAGCTTACAGTAATTGCTGTTGATTTAACTATAAATTTTGTAATATTGTTATTAGTTGATAACCGGTATGTTTAAAGTAGGTTCATATGTATGTATGGTGTGTATGTTTGTACATACATATCGTCGTTTTAAGTACAAAGGCGCGTATCAACAAAATGCAAAACAGCGTATCAAGACAAGAATGATATTATGGGCGTATATGTATGTAAATTCAAAACTATAAAACCGCTTTTCTCGAGTTTTGCTTTTTCGAGTTATGCCGCTATTGAAGTAAATGAGCGATACATTTGTAAAGACTACAGAAAATAATTCGGCTAAATACATACATATCGTCGTTTAAAGCTCAAAACCGCGTATCAACAAAATGCAAAACCGCGTATCAAGATATTACAAAACCGCGTATGTGAGGTTGCATAACTTATTTTGTAGAGAGTAAAAACACTCGTAACACACACACCTAAAACTATTGAGTAAGGTCCAAAGAACAGCGTTTCTATGCATTTCGGGTGCCTTAAGGACCACCCCAAATAAGGCGTTGGAGGTGATTACCAATTTACCCGCAATAAACCTGGTGGGAAAATACGCGGCCGCCGATTCAGCGCTCAAACTAAGAAGTATGGTGCTATGGAAGGATCGGCGGTTTGGTCACGCTTCCATACTTCACACTCTGGGTAGTTACAACCAAGAAGTTGACTACTCCGCTCCCAAACCAATCTTCAATAGGCTCTTTAAGACGAGCATCCCGTCAAGAGGAGAATGGCAAACGCCAAGACCATGGAGACGGGGGGAATTGAATTTTTACACAGATGGATCCAAGCTAGACAATAGGGTTGGCTACGGAGTTTTCTCTAAGGAACTAGGACTGGAACTATCCGTCCGAATTCCGGACCACTGCAGTGTCTATCAGGCAGAAGTTTTAGCCATAAAAGAGGTGGCTGTGTACCTTAGTACACATGCCGTAACGAAGACTACGATTAATATTTTCTCGGACAGCCAGGCGGCCATTAAATCAATGAACATGGTAATGCTGAGGTCGAAGGTTGCGCAGGAATGCCTCGCAGCTCTAAACGATATTAGCACCGTGTTCAAGGTCAGCCTCATATGGGTTCCGGGACACAGAGATATTGAAGGAAACTGCAGGGCTGATGAGCTAGCCAGGAAAGGTACGAATCTACCCCTATGTGAAAACAGGGGCACTATTGAGATACCCATGGCAACCTGCAAATTAGAACTTCGAAATAGCATGATCCAAGAGGCCAACAGGTCATGGCTAGAGGAGGGCACATGTAGAACAACCAGGCTGCTTTGGCCGCAAATAGAAAAGAAAAAGACGAAAGAGTTGCTGTGCCTCTCAAGAGAGGACATTGCGAAGGTCACGGCTTGTGTAACCGGTCACTGGCTATTTGGCAGGCACTCTTCAAGACTAGGAATTTTCTCCCACGAATATTGCAGAAGTTGCAGAGATGAGGAAGAGGAAGAAACCGTAGAGCACTTCTTCTGCAGCTGCCCAGCTTTGGCCAAGAGGAGAGCAAGCTTTTTAGGCAGGCCCTTCTTTAGCTCTCTTACGGAACTATCACGCGTAGGAATAAAACCGATTCTACGCTTTATAAGAGCCGCAAATTGGTTCTCTGAAGAATAGTCACCGAGGTTCCCGTGTTCTGCAGTGGTACCACAATGGACCTTCAAAAGGTCTAAGTGAGTTGGTAAATTGAACCGACTGCCACATCAACCTAACCTAACCTAAAAACACTCGTGTTTCAAAATGGTTCCCTTTTTATAAAACAATCGCATTTCTGGTTAGTATATTTCAGGACGAATGGATTGAGCCAAGCGCTTGTGTAAGCAAATCCAATTTTTGGCAAAATTGACAGTTACGTGGTTAGGCATATCGTCGTTTAAAGTACAAAACCGAGTATCGTCGTTCTGCAACTGACTTTGTGCCAAAAAAGATATGTGTTCACCGGAAGCTCCTGGCATCAAGCCCTTATCCATTGATACTAAAATATCGATTCTTAGACATAAGAAGAGAAGATAATTATTGATGAAAGAGAGAACCATTTTGAAATTGGACTAGCTTTACTCTCACCTGCAAAATCTTGGCAACGTCACATACCAGGTTTTGCATTATCTTGATACGCGGTTTTGTACTTTCAACGACAATATGTAAATGTATGTACCCAACGGGACTGAAAGTGAGCACAAAAGCAGAGAAAAAATAAATTTGAGTAGTTAAATACATAAAATATTTTATTTTGAAAAGTGAAATTGGCGACTCGTCGACTTATTACCGTGGTGAGAAATCGGCAACATTATTTTTTTCATGTCATTTTAGGAATATGTAATCAAAAGTTCCTAAAGTGATGAATTTGTCGTCAACACGGACAGGGAAATAATTTATTTCGTTTTTAAATTCTAATTTTATATTCAAAAACAAATGAAATATTAGAAATATGTACATATGTAATAAGCAAGGAACGGATTTTATGGAAATTGCCTTTTTTCTGCTAAAGAGATAGAGTATATTCGATTAAGAATGTCCACGAATTAGCTTGCCCTGATTCCATATATACACATTTGATGTTGCCTTTTTTAAGATATTTGCCTTTTTTTGCCTTTTCTACCTTTAAAAAAGTGATTATAGCATTTAAAATTTTTTTTTAAGATTAAAAAATATACACATGCCCATGCGGCTTATAGAAGCGCAGGGACCTCTTGCCAAATTGGTGTTGGAAAAATTCAAAGCCGTTTTCTCAGCTAACGTAGGCTTGGAGACAATAAGGGGTGTGGATAAAACTGTAAAGGGCGAGGGAAACGCCCTTATTCCTGATAATATGAACGTTTCAAACGTTCCATATTTAAATTGGGCTCCACTTGTATCAACTTACGTCGAGCGCACATTTAGTACATTCCAGGCTTTTCTTCGCGAAAATCGAATGAAAATGCTGCCAGAAAACTTCAAAATGCATCTTGTGGTTCAATGTTACTACAACTATACAGATTAAAGTTTTATGAGTTAGAAACTCGAAAGGATAAAATAGTCAAAGATTCAAAGTACAAATTTTTCATATAATGAAACTAGTTCATAGTTTTTCTCTTTTTACTTGTAATATAAACATTTCTAAAATAAATGTATTTTTTGATTGTTCTTCGTATTTTCTGTCTTTTTTTAGTGCCTTATTGTGTTTTTTTGTAATACCTGCCTTTTTCGCTATTTTATTTTGCCTTTTCCAGCCTATTTCGTTATTTTATTTTGCCTTTTTTATAGGTTTTTAGATACTAAAAATCCGTTCCCTGGTAATAAGACTGTTCCAAGTAATTATTGTTCAAATATCGCCTGTAGTAATAACAAAGCGATAAGAAAACAAGTCATTCAGAGGGCATGAAAAATAAATAAAACAAAGAACAAAAATGCTGACTATCAATGTATGTTTTTTGTGCTTCCTTAATTTTTTTGAGTAGTGAGCCAGTTCGCAAAAATTCCTCACTGAGGAGTACAATTTTAATCTTCCTCCCACTACAACTTCATCCAAGGGCAATCAATTGTGATGCCTTTTTTTGTGAGTTAAAAATGAAAGAGCGCACTTCAACTAAATTTATGTTTAATATAACCCATTTTTTCGCTTCAATATTTACCTCACGCTCCCATGCCACTCAATATATTACTCCTCATATAAGAGCGTTTTGCTTCTTTTGCTCATCTAGCTTTCATCACTCAGTAGCTTTAATCATGATCAGCGTTGCCGCTTTGGTCATTTTTTACCAACACCGGTAGTTTTCTTATTTTTAGAACGAGTTTGGTAATTTGGTAATTTTTTTCCTATTTGGTAATTTTTTCAACATAAGTCTTTTAAGTTTTTAATACTAACTTATTTAGAACTTTAAAGCTTCTTACAATTGCACAAAACAAAAAATTTGCTTATGTACATACATATGTATGTGTCTGCACCTTGAGAGAGCCAAAAATTTCCAGGGCCCTTTCACGTTACGATTTGCCTTGACAACACAGAACTTTTAGTATGAGCTTAGTATACAAAGCTATTTGAAGAAACCAAAAAGTGTTCTCAATATGGCGGCTACCACAACCCCTACAGTCCCACAAATCAGGTTATTGGATCATTTTTACCTGCTGGAACCAATGGTGCAAGAAAATAACTTTACAGCACTAATTACAATTTCGCAACTAAATAGGAATGTGACCCACTCATAAAACTGTAGAAATAAATTTAATCTATCGTTTATCGATACATTTGCTGGTTTCATGTTTTAAGTAATGTAATTACTTTATTGGACGATGGTTCCGTGCGCAGAAGTGGAAAACTTTTGACTGCCATTCACCTGGGAGTGGCCAGATGCGATTCTTGTGCGTACGGTTCAAATCGCAGCTCATAGCGTCCGGATATTTATATCCACGTATCCTCTGGGTAGCAACCAAACACCCGTGCCCGTGTTTTCCGACTATTATGTCCAAAAAAATTTGGTAATTTTTTTCTGAGTTTGGTAATTTTTTTTAGAGTATTGGTAAAAAATTTAAAATCTTTGTGGCAACACTGATCGTGATACAAAAATTACAAGGTAAAATCATTCTCTCAATTCGTCGGCCATGATTTTTTTCAGACGTTTGCAAGCATTTTAAAATCATATAAAATTGAAAAAACCAAGCATATTTTAAGAATAAACAAAACCGACTTAAATTATCTTATACAAATTTAAGATTACGTTAATTTCTTAAACCAGATTAGTAAGAAACCACCTCAGAGATACCACCTTTCTTTAAAAAAAAAAGAATTGTAGAAATCGGTTCATCTGGTCCACAGTTATGCGGTTACATAAAAAAAAATAAAATAAAAAATATTTCGGCGAATTGATAACCCCCTTTTGAAGGCGGTTAAAAATGAAATTGTTCACAACTATTGTTGTTTGAGATTGAAAATGAGAATTTGTGTGAGTTTGTGTTTTGAATTTTAAAATTATATTGCTGGCAAACGCCAGACTGTCGCTCAATGGTTTTACCTTGTAATGTTTTTATTATGGTTTTAATCGTTGATAAACTCAGTAAAGCAGCAGGGAGCGCTCATTGAGCAATAATTTTATTTATGCTGTAAATTTGATGCGCCCCTTGCTTAGTTGTTTTTCTAGATTTGCTTTTTTCTCTTGTTAGTTTCTGAATTAAAAGTTTAGCTTAAAAAACTTCGGTTTTATTGTTTCTGGTTTTGTGATTTAAAAATTGGAATGGTAAATATCTTTTCTATCACTTTACAACTCGGAGCGATGAAAATAAAAGTGAGGCTATCCGTACGAATAAACTCTTTTACAAATACTTCTCATGTAAGTTCGTGAGTAAGCCAAGTATGTGAGTGCTCTTAAAAAATATAACTTTTCAGAGCGAGAGCGTGTTTTAATTGCTTTGCGAAGTCTGTTTTGAGAAGGTCAGCGACTGTTCTTTGTAAAAATGTGCAT